CGTTGGACAAAAGACCTATTGAAGGGCTTTTACAACTAGAAAACCTTCCGAACTCATTCTGTGTATAAATGATCTTTCAAATGTCCTCGAGAGATGGACGAACTTCTAAATGACTTTTTTAGATGGTCGAGGACCTTTCAAGATGCCAAAGACCATATGCAGGCCTTATATAAATGGTAGACCCTCTGAGGGAGTTCAATGGCTTGGAAATAAATCTGAAAAGTTTCTATGAATGGTAGACCTTTTTAGGGTCTTTCATTGATCCATTTTAAGGAGGCACGGCCTTCGGAAGGCCTTCTTTGGACATAGGGTCATCAGAAAGTCGTATATGTATAAATGGCCTTTTGAATGACTTCTAAGGACGGAGGACATTTCAAAGGTCCTCAAGAGAGGGAATACCATTTATAGGTCTTCTGTGGATGGACGACACTCAGATAACCTTCTTTAGCTAGGAGGAAAATATTTGAAAATGGCCTATGAATGGAAATCTTCGTAAGATATTTTGTAGATGGTTGACCTCATATAGTTCTTCCGTAGATAGGAGGTCTCCTAAGGCTCTTCTCTAGATAAAAACCTACTGAAGGCCTTCTGTTGATACAAGACCCTACAGGGGCTTTCTATAGTTAGAAAACCTTCAGAACGCTAAAAGACCTTGTGAATGGTTTCAGTGGATAGAGGACCTTTCAAATACCTCCTGAGGCTCTTCTCTAGATAAAAACCTACTGAAGGCCTTCTGTTGGTACAATACCCTCCTGAGGTTTTCTATAGTTAGAAAATCTTCAGAACGATAAGAAAAAACCCTTGTTAATGCTTTCAGTGGATTGAGAACCTTTCAAATACCTTTTCAAGATATAGAGAACCATAAGCAGATCTTCTGTGGATCCTCTTCTTTAGCCACAGAAAAAAATCAGAAAATTTTCTATTAACGAAATAATACCTCTCGAGGTTCTTCGGTATATGGGAGAACTTCTGAAGCTCTTCCACCTTTTGTGGGTGGAAGGCCCTCCGAAGACTTTCTCAACTTGGAAAACCTTGAGGGGGCTTCCTATGAATGAAAAACATTCTCAGGGCCTACTAAGGATAGAAGACCTTCTGAAGGCTCTCTACAAATAGAAGATGTTGTGCACAGTTTCTGTGGATAGAGAACCCATCAAAGGTCCTCAAGAGATGGAAGACGGTGTACCGGTCTTCTGTGAAAGGAAAGCCCTCAGCTGGTCTCTCTTAGCCAGGGAGAAAGTTTGAAATTTTTCTATTAACGAAAGACCTTCTAAAGGTATTTTGTATATATGAGACCCCCTGAAGTTCTTTTGTAGATAAACGACCTTCTGCAGACTCTTTAATGGATGAAAGACCCTCCTCAGGCTTCCTATAGTTAGGTACATATCAGAAGGTTTTCAATGAATGGAGGACCTTCTTAATGTCTTCTAAGGACTGAAGGCTTTCCGAGGGACTTCTAAGGAGAGAAGTCCTTTTGGAGGCCTTCTATGGATGGAAGGTTTTCTGAAGATCGTCTATGTTTTGAAGCCTTATGAAGTTCTTCTATGGTTGGGGAGTCTTCGTAAGGCCTTCGATGGTTAGAATGCCCTCGGAGGATTTCCTTTGGATAAAAGGATTTCTGAAGGCCGTGTATAGATAGCGGACAATCTGACAGCATTCTGTGGATGGACAACCGTCCTAAGACTTTGTTTTTATAAACAACCTTCAAAAGGCTTTCTATAAAAGAAAGTCCTTCTCAGGACCTTCTAAGTATAGAAGGATTTCTGAAGCCCTCCTTTGTATAGAAGACCTTCTGAAATCATTCTATGGATAGAGAATCTTCTTAAGGCTTTCGATGATTAGAATGCCGTTGGAGGGCTTTCTTTGGATGAACAGATTTCTGAAGGTCCTGTAGGGACATGGAGCATTTCAATACATAGACAACCTTCAAAAGTCATTTTATAAATTGAAGACCTTCTCATGGCGTTCTGAAAACAGAAGACTTTCTGAGAGCGTTCTTTGGATGGTAGGACTTCTGAAGTGCTTCTATGAATAGTAAGTCTACTTAAGGTCTTCGATTGTTAGACTGCCGTTGGGGGGTTTTCTTTTGATAAAAGGATTTCTGAAGTTCCTGTAGGGATATCAGGCATTCTGAAGGCCTTCCGTGTATCAAAGACCCTCTCAAGGCTTCCTATAGGTTTTCTAACTTCAGGGGGCTTTTTATTTATTTAACCCCTTCTCAGAGCTTTCTGAGGACAGGAGACCTTCTTAAGACTTTCTAAAGTCCTCCTTTGTATTGAAAACCTCTTCAAAGTATCCTTTGTATTGAAGACCTCTTTCTATGGACAGGAAATCTACTAAAGGTCTTCGATCTTTAAAAGACCTTCAGAAGGCTTTCTATGGATATAAGGCTTTCTGAAGATCTTGCAGAGATATCGGATATTCTGAGGGCCATTCAACATGGATGGGAGACATTCCGGAGACCTCCATCGGATAAGCAGAATTTGGGAGTAATATTGGGTGTATTCAAAAAAAAAAAATAGGAATTCGAATATTTTTCATAGCACGTTAGGACGTGTGAATATTGACGTAACATATACGTCCTCTACAAGAGTTTTCGAAGATAAAATGGTTCTATGGAACCTTCAAAAAGACACCTAGCAATGAAGAACCTCAGCATACCTTATGAAAACTTTGTATAAATTGTTCAAGGTTTCGCCAGTCGATAGAAAAAGTCCTGTCACTCCTCAAATGGTGGAAGACGTATACGTTATGTCACCACTAATACGCCTTCCTAAGCTAGGGAAAAAATCTAAAAAGTTTCTACTTTTTTAAGGTTTTTTTTGTAGATAGGAGACCTCCTGAGGCTAGGGAAAAAATCTGAAAAGTTTCTACTTTTTTAAGGTCTTTTTTTGTAGATAGGAGACCTCCCGAGGCTAGAGAAAACACCAGAAAATTTTCTATAAGTGGAAGGTCTTCTTAAGGTCTTGTGTAGATAGGAAATCTCCGGAAATTATTTCGTAGATAAAAGACGAACTGAATGCCTTCTGTTGATTGACGACCCTCCGAAGGCTTTCTAAGGCTTAGAGGCTTTCTATGAATGAAAACCCTTCTCAGGACCTTCTAAGAACAAAAGACTTTCTGAGGGCCTTCTATAGATGGAATGCTTTCTGCAGTCGTATTATGTATTGAAGACCTTCTATGGATAGAGAATCTTGTAAAGGTAGAAGACTTCTGAGTAGAAGGCTTTCTATGGATAACGACATTCTGAGGACCCTCTTATAGATATATGTTCTTCTGAAGACCCTATATGGATGGAAGGTCTTCTGGGACCTTCATTGAATAACCAGTGTTTGGGAGTAATTTTTAGGGGCATTCTAATACTGGGTTGTCGAATTATTTACAAAGCACGACGGGACGTATGAGTTTTGACACTGTGTATACGTCCTGAACAAGAACTTTGGATGATAATATATTCCCATAAAGCCTTCAAAAAATACCTAGCCATGGAGAACCTCGAAATATCTTCAGAATACCTTGTATAAATAGAGTTGACGGTCTCTTATCTATGGAATAAATTCTGATACTCTTCATTTGATAGAAGACGTATACGTTTCGTCAACACTCATACGCCTCCTTCTTAAGCTAGGGAAGAAATCTGAAAATTTTCTATAAGTGGAACACCTTTTTAAGGTTTTTTTGTAGATAGGAGACCTCCCGAGACTAGGGAAAAACCAGAACATTTTCTATATGTGGATGGCCTTCTTTAAGGTCTTGTGTAGATACGAAACCTCCGGAAATTATTTCGTAGATAAAAGACGAACTAAATGCCTTCTGTGGATTGAAGGCCCTCCGAAGGCTTTCTATGAATGAAAAACCTTCTCAGGATCTTCTAGGAACAGAAGACTTTCTGAGGGCCTTCCATGGATGGAAAGCTTTCTGAAGTCGAATTATGGATAGAGAATCTTGTAAAGGTGTTCGATGGGTGAAAGACTTCTGAGTAGAAGGTTTTCTATGGATAACGACATTCTGAGGACCCTCTTATAGATATATGTTGTTCTCAAGACCCTATATGGATGGAAGATCATCTGGGACCTTCATTGGATAACCAGTGTTTGGGAGTAATTTTCAGAGGCATCAAAATTTAGGTGGTCGAATTATTTTCAAAGAACGACTGGACGTATGACTTTCGACACTGTGTATACGTCCTGAACAAGAACTTTGGAAGATAATATATTCCCATAAAGCCTTCAAAGAATACCTAGCCATGGAGAACCTCGAAAGGTTCTTCAGAATACCTTGTATAAATAGAGTTGACGCTCTCCTATCTATGGAATAAATTCTGATACAATTGATAGAAGACGTATACGTTACGTCAACACTCATACGCCTTCTTAATCTATGGAAAAAATCTAAAAGTTTTCCATGAGCGGAACACCTTTTTAAGGGTTTTTTTTGTAGATAAGAGCCCTCCTGAAATGATGTTGCCGAATAATTTTCAAAGCACTGTGGGGCATATGAGATTTGACGTTACGCATACCTCCTCTAGAAGTGTTTATGAAGATAATATGTTTCCATAAGGCCTTCAAAAGCACACCTGGCCATGGAGAACCTCGGCAAACCTTCTGAAGGCTTTGTATTCAGATCTATCTGAAGTTCTCCTATCAATAGAAAAAGATCTGGTACTCTTCAAGAGATAGAAGACGTATACGTTACATCAACACCCATACGCCCCCTTGCACCCCGAAAATGATCCGACAGCCTAATTTTTTTAATAATCCCCAAAATTACCACCCAATTCTGCTTCCGTTTTGTTATTGTGTTCTTGTTGTTATCATTTATGAGTAATCAGATTTTTGAAAGAGCATAAGGAATGATGCAGGACTTACACACACACATACACGCATACAGATACCTTCTACAACAACGACACGTGTCGAGCATTACTTTGTCACATTTTATTGTTAACACCATTTTACACACACACATACACCCAAACACACATACCGCACTCCAACACTTACCTGAAAACGTAACATCAGGAACATGACAACAAACACCAGAAACAAACATAAGCCGATTATGGGAAAACTGACAAGGTAACGAAAGGCACGACGCTTCCAGGCGGGTGCCTCCTTCGGCTCCAGACGGCCGGTGACATTGTTCTCAACAAGTGGGCCCTGGGAGGAAGGGAGAGAAACAAAAGAAAAAAAAGGAGATTAAGGGAGATGAGAGAGGTAAGAGAGATATAAAGAGAACATATATTTCCTAAGAGAGGGAGAGAGAGAAAATTTTCCCTTACCTTATATAGAGGCCTCGGTGGTTCTAATAGCTCCGGTGGTGTGGACAGCGTTCCCCAGCGAAAGGCCAGCTCCACAGAATATCTCTTCCAGGCCTCCAAATACAGCGAAGCCCAGGCCACATTGAAGAGAGAAAACAAGACATGGCCCATGTCCTGGGCCATTTGATTTTTGCCCCAAAGAAAGGCATACAAAATGGTGCCAAATACCGCCGGCACCCCCAGGGCACAGGTGTAGTGGCCCAGCCAGGCGAAGTATAAGGCCACCTTGACACCAAAATACTCGGCAATGTCGTCTGGAATCGAAAAACAAAAATATAAAATAAAAAAAATAATTTTTCGTGATTCTCCCTTCTCACCCAAAGGCTGCGGGGCCAGGACCTGCTTGACCCAACTCTTCTGCAGTGAGGCCAAACTTTTTGTCTCATGCAGCGGGAATATTTGCATTATCAATCCAGTTTCCTGCCAGGCGGCCACAATACTCTGGCCCTCCTCGACGGCTGCTCGACCTTGCAGGGCCTCTATGTCCGATTGGCCCGCCCTGAGACCCTGCAGTACCTGTAACACCAACCATTGGCGCTCCTGGGAGGTGAACAGCGAGGTATTGCCATCATCGCTTTTGATTTGCTGGAAACAATGACTTTCGCGGGTTGTAAATTCTCGTAAGGCACCACCCAGATCCGGACGTAAACGTTTCGGCAAACGAGCCTCTTCCGCTGCTCGAAATAAACTACAGCCACATATAAAAATCGAAGGGAATTGAGAAAAAGAAAACATAAATTAATGGATTTCCTTCTTCGCCACTTTGCCTAGATCCTCCAAAAACAAAATGAGAAAAAAATATATTTACATATTCGTCGGAGCACTTATATAAAATGCATTTCGCCTTGAACTCTCGTGGGCCTTCACCTGCACCACCAGCCCCAAACCGGCCGGTGGCTGTGACCGTATGCGTGCCAACAGCCAACGCAGTGCCTCGTCGGGTGCATCTTCAGGAAACTCAATGACCACATCGCATTGGGTGGGTATTTTATTTAGCCAGAGGCGTCGCGGTGTCATCAAATGACCGGCATAGGGTACTTTACGTCTCAGCTGACGGGAAGCTATAAGGGGGAAGAAAGAAAAAGAGAGAGAAAGCAAAAATATTAAATGAGTAGCCGATAACGAAAAAATAACTAAAAATTATTTCGAATAGCTGACGTATACGTTATGACATTACTCATACGCATGGAGGGTCACTAAATGGCTAGAATGAAATATTCTCTAAAAAAATCTAAGTTTCTTGGTCTTTTGGTCCTTGAAAAAATATTCCTTAAAAAATCCACGTTTATAGCTTCAAAGGTACTTGAAAAAATATTCCTTAAAAAATCCACGTTTCTTGGATCCTTGAAAAAATATTCTTTAAAAAATCCACGTTTCTTGGATCCTTGAAAAAATATTCTTTAAAAAATCCACGTTTCTTGGATCCTTGAAAAAAAATTCCTAAAAAAAATCCACGTTTCTTGGATCCTTGAAAAAATATACCTTAAAAAATCCACGTTTATAGCTTCGAAGGTACTTGAAAAAATATTCTTTAAAAAATCCACGTTTATAGCTTCGAAGGTACTTGAAAAAATATTCTTTAAAAAATCCACGTTTCTTCAACTAATGGTCCTTGAAAAAATATTCTGTAAAAAATCCACGATTCTTCAAATGATGGTCCTTGAAAAAATATTCTTTAAAAAATCCACGTTTCTTTGTCTTTTGGTCCTTGAAAAAATGTTCTTAAAAAAAATCCACGTTTCTTTGTCTTTTGGTCCTTGAAAAATATTCTTTTCTTGGTCTTTTGGTCCTTGAAAAAAATTCTTTAAAAAATCCAGGTTTCTTGGTCTTTTCGTCCTTGAAAAAATATTCTTTAAAAATCCAGGTTTCTTCAACTGATTGTCCTTTGAAAAAAATCACATTTCTTGGCCTTTTGGTCCTTTAAAAAATCCACGTTTCTTCAACTGATGGTCCTTGAAACAATTCACATTTCTTGGCCTTTTTGTCCTTAAAAAATTCTTTAAAAAATCCATGTTTCTTGTTCGGATGGTCCTTGAAAAAATATTCTTTAAAAAATCCACGTTTCTTTGTCTTTTGGTCATTGAAAAAATATGTAAGGTTTTCTAAGGGTCTTCTCTAGATAAAAGGTATTGTAAAGGCTTTCTATGGACGATAGATCTTTGAGGGTATTCTTTAGATAAAAT